CATATTGATCCCGGCCCTGAATTTGGATCAAAATTTCCTCTTTCCACATATTCCTGAACCAAGTTATGTCTTCTCATCCTCTCCTCTCACCAAAAGCAAACGTTTCGCTGCACGATGGGGCGTTTGAGGGGAGAAGGAGGGGGTGGGAGGCTAGGGTGGGTCGCTCTAAACAGTTCTCCACCGCTTGGTGAAGAGCGGGCAAGCGACAACATACGGTGAAAAACGGGAAGGCCTCGCTCCATACCCAACCTTCTGCTCTAACTTCTAAGGGCCATTACCTGGTTTGGCTAAGCTCGCGACTTTCTAATAGGGACCATTACTCCACGAATTATGCATAGTGCCACATCAGAATTATTTCTGGAAAACCTCGTTAGGAGGGCAAAGACGAACAGAACAGACATAGCCTCGCCCCGCTCCCATATGGCCCTTTCTGCTACTTATCCTCGCGATACTGACAACGGTGGATGAAAGATGCTACTCGCTGTGCTTGGACGGAGCCATGACCCCTGTAAACTATAGAGCGTGTGACAGGGTATGGATTGGAGAGCTGCAAAAGAGACTTTTCCATCAATATCCCATCCAGAGCCCGCAATGATTGCCGGGAGGGGCTGTTCGAGCTGCGATCCAACTCACGCCCCTTTACACGCCCTATAATTTGCAGGGATCATGACTATAAAGTGGGTCTTCGTGATTCCACTCGTCAGGAAAAATGGCCCACCTGCTTGACCTGCTCATCAGAAAGCCCCCGCCTTTGCACGATGTTCGTTGATATGATACCAGGGCTGGAAGAATTCTTAACAAATCGAATCGCCTAAGAAGATATTTCTTTAGGACCCACTTGACGCTATTCACTCGTACTCCTTTTTTGATGTAGTGCAAAGCAAGATTACGCGTAAGTTGGTCCTGTGCCGCTTTTGAGACACTGTAGAATGGAAATGGCGTTGACTGAAACACGTTCGTAAGCTTTCCTCAGTCGCTCGTTATTCCATGTAGAGGAGTTTTTGGCGCACTTCGGCTTCGGAGGAAGGGAAGGGGGGGGGGACATTTTCTTTTTCCGCTACTTCCCATTGCCGTGTTCATTGTTTTACAAGAGTTGACAGGTATTCTCTCCAAGGGTTGACAAGGATGGCTGGTATCACTTCCACAAACTTTCACTGGTCTCCGCGTGATGGCTTGACACGTTGGTAGGAAGGACGGATAGTGCAAGATGTCCTCCACCCCCCCCTAAAACCAAAGTCGCCGTCTTTTCTGAAAGTTTTCAAATATGAAGTCACCTACCGCTCCGTTGTTCAATCCAGTCACACTGCTTATATTAACGATTTCACCTTGGCTCTTCACCAGATGTGGAAAGGCTAGCTGGCAAAGTCCTCAGTACACTTAATAGGTATTGGCAGTTATTATTCAAAGCAATACTTCGTTTAAACACCGTAATGCTAACGGTATTCAACGAATTTTGGCTCTGTTTGGCTTGGGAGGGGCATTCTGCGTGGAGTTCCTGCCAAATTACCCACCAGAATCTTTGAGACCTGTACACTCTTGTCAAGTGTTAACGAAGCTCCTTGCGCTGCATAGCTTTACAGGAGTTACAAGAGTTTTCAGATCCCCGCAGAGAGCATTGGCAGTGATTGATACCACTTGAATGGCCCCACCAAGCCGAACAGCGCTTGAGCTTTCTGGTAACTCGGGAAACAGGACTCACCTTCTAGTGTTCAGATTCATAGTATGATCAAAATAACTGATATCTCCCTCGATCTCTGGCTCGGCCCAACATGAGCCGCCAGTGTTGCCGGCGTTGTTCACCTAAATATTGCTCGTTTATGGCAATTGTTGCTAAATGAGAGACACTTTCGACGTGCACATGATTGTTTGCTTACATCCAGCTCTTCTGGATCTTTCCCAAGCAATGAGAAAGGAGCATCTGTTGTCTATTCCCGCCCACTCGGTCAGCATGAACTATGCTTTTTAATTAGGGAATTTTTTGTACAGCTTTTGCAAGAGCAGTGCAAGGAGTGCATGGCTGGGTTTGTTGCGGAACCCTACCCAGATCAATCGAATTTCCTCAGTTCTGGAGGGGAGAAATCTGCTGAAAGTTCCCCTCTTACACTTTCCAATGCCGGAACCAGGGAAGGAGGGTCACTATTCCGAAAAAAGGCTCCCACGAGAAGGGGCTTCCCGCCGCACCCACACATTACCTTATCACCGGTGAACTGTGCATATTTTTTTTGCTTGGGTGTGTAAAACACTAGCGGGAGGGAAAGTATTCCTGATAACCTAGCTGACCTATTCTAATTCGAACAACACAGCAACTTAGAGTGCGATAAGGGCTGGGAGGGGAGATGGGGGGGGGGTGAGAGGGGGCACACAGACTAAATCCACTTTTCTCGAGAAAGAGGAAAAACTAGAGCGGCGAAACTTATCCTATAATCCAAGCGAAACTTACCAAAACGTCCAGCCGGCCAAACTTGCGAACTGTTCCATTCACTGTTTCCTTCATCACATCTTCATCGCGAAGGTCACCTTGGACAACGAGCAGCTTCTTTTCATCTTTGCCGTTTGCCGAGAGCACCATGTTTTTTGTTTCCTTAAATATTAATTAAAATTTTGTCAAATTCTCCAGTAGCTCTAATGAGTCTTTTCAAAGGGACCAGGTTGGTCGGAGGTGAGAGTGTCTGCTCCATTCGTGGACCAGACCTTGTTTAGAAGGTGCAGGCCTTTAAATTCCAGGAGTGACTACAGCCCATATCCCAGAGGTGGGAGAGGCGTGGCTACGTTTTAGTGGCAGCATAACGTAGGATGCGTTATCCGTGGAACATTTTCATTTGAGACATTTGTCATTCAGTGTTGTGCCAGGGCAGAAGCATGGTCACAGTTTCCACTAGACGACAACGTCCCGCACTTGCCGCACGCAGCCACGCCCTTTCCAACTCCCAGATATGCGGTGTATGTGAAAGGTCTGCCCAGGATGGTACCACGGTTCCTCGTATGAGTCAAGCAAGTATACTTCTGTCTGCCTGCACCATTCCCAACGAATACTGCTGCGAAGCGGTTTTTGCTAGGCTATATTTTTATATTTATTCACATTCTATTATTGAACCTTTGGAACTTTATTCCATTATAAATATAAACCAACGTTCAAAGTTTTCTCATCCCGTCCACAAATCGTTACCATCGCACCTTCCTTGGCAAACATTACGGCAGTAGCTCGGCCTATTCCATTGGATGAACCTTAAGACGACTCACTTATGGGTTTGTTTTTACATTTATAAGGATATTTTGAGAGAAAAAGTATTTTACCCCAGGCTCTGACATAGGTGGTTGTTGATTCCCGCACATGATTGAATTATTAAATTATCGAATTATTTTTCTACTAGTGGAGTACCCACTGGGCTACATGTGCGCTAGCAGACCACCTACACTCACACGGAGCGGTCCTGCGAAGGTTGGATGTTCCCTTCTTGTCTATCCTCTCTTAAACATAAGCGTCTCCACCTCTTTTCGTCTGAATCCTCGCAACCATCGCCGCGCTTGTAGCTTTAGCCCTGAGCTTGAGCCCCTTTAGCCCTGAGGTATGGGCTGTTCTCACAACAGGTCTCCCTACCCAATCTCGCCAACTTCCGCTAGCTCATCAAGACACGAAGGATTCCAGATACTACGCCTCTTGAAGAACTGTCAAGCGGGGGAGCGGAAAGTGAAGAGAAATCTAGGTCGAGGGATAAAGATTGATTAAGATGAACTTCGAGGAACCGATCTTGCTCAGGGTAATCATGCTTTCGACTTCTTCGAGGGCACTTAACGCTATGAATTTTTAGGAGAATAAAGGCATTGAACTGTACCTCGGCCCGCCCCCACAAAGCCTCGGATCCTTGAAAGACGTATTGTACACCCATCTTCGAGGACGCTCCTAGGCCGTGTAAAGGCTAATGGGTCCGGAGCTGCAGTAGCATGACACTCCCTCCGCTCGAAAGCGCTTGGGAAGGGGGCTGTAGAGTAATAGTGGTACCGGAGAGCTGTCTTCACACTCCGCTCACGCTGTCGTCGAGGCGCACACTTGTGTCGTTACCATGGTCCCGCAGCGAAACGCGCTCAGCGGTAGAAAACAGCCAGAAGTGAGAGAGCGCAGACAAAAGGCGCATTTGGCTATGGTTAGGCGTCTGGCTGGCAATGCGAGAGTGCGAGCGGAGTATGGAGACATCCGTGCAAACTCAGAGCCGTTCGTAAGGCTTCGCAATGAAATCATCTCACCAGTCACAATGACCGCTCGACCGTCGAATCGACCCGCATTTCGAGCCATATTGGTGAGGCCTAAATAGGTTCAGCTTTTTAAGAGAGAGCATTCCTGAAATTTCTTTAGGTCTACGAAAACAGACGGGATACAGTCCTCGGAGTCCTGCGCGTGAAATGAGAAGTGTCGGCTCCGTGGCACTCAGTTGAGGTGAGGCCAAGAAGCGCGAGCGACAATAATTCTGCTTTCCTTATTGCCTGGGCGACAAAAGACTGCTTTCTGTGCACATGATGCTTCTAGGCGCTCAGTTTTACGTGCACTTTAGGGTACTGTATCCCGCCTGTTTTCTCAATTTTATGATTCAGTAGTAAATGACGACGAGCCGGATAGACCGATACGAGATGGAAACGGATTTGCTGAATTCCAACAGATGAAATTCAGAGGCCTAGGAGCCAACAGTCACACCATCTAGCGCTACCGTCTTCTATTTGTTTGTCGAAATTCTCAGAAATGCTCAATTGGAACTTTTCTCATGCGCCAGTTGCGGGCGAACGAATTTTGCTGTTCTCCCTCTTATACATCTCTAGGAGAATAGGAACTTTGGCGACACATCAGAAAGCGAGCGTTATATAGGAGGCGAGTTTGATGATCATATTGAAAGTGTTATAGAGAAGTTGTAGCTCGGAGCTCAAATTAGGGCAAACGATTGGTTCTAAAGTGAAGACTTGACACGGACTGCTCCAACGAACATCACAACAAATGCTGCCTATCAGCACGAGTAACAGGGCCTTTTATAATGCGGCTGTCAGTACGCATTTTAAGCCCAGAGTAACCTTAACAGCACACAAAGTCAGAGAATGTGTCCACCTTGGAGGCTAGCGAGAAAGAGAGAGTCGTAAGAAGGCTTATAGGTGTAGTCGACCTGTTACCCGAACCAGTCGTCGTCGTGGTCAGGTAATCGCTTTGCAACGCCCACAAACGAAAATGCCGCACGTTTTCGCGTCTATCATGACCTTCAATTGTCTTGCCTCCACGGCAGCTTTCTCTATGTCTCTAATGACTACCTCTCACTCAGTGTCCCTCCTATGACGCTACTTTCCACGAGAAGTTTTATTTCGAGCACCTGGCACCGTTTTTTCTGATTTTTTTTCTACTACTTTAACTTTGGCACCCAGCCCTTTCAGCTTCTTCCCTGCAGTTCGTAGTCAGCGGCTCTGCAAGAAAAAGGCGAAGCACTGGTATGTGGAAATCGTCTTGAGTATTGTTGAAATGTTTGAGCGAGCAGGTCTCGAAATGTTTTTTGACCATTTCAGGCTCTGACGAAGGCGAAGACGCCGAAACGTAGGCCTTCAAAAAGTTGCTCAATCTTGGAAAAGGCTAGAAGAAATACAAGAACGAAAAGCAACGTTCTAGCCAAGTACTGAAACTTGTTTCATCACGACTTCCGGGCGCAGTTCGGTGACAAGGGGGGGGGGGGGGCATTTGCACTTTTGACTAGTCACTAGTTCCGGTTTACAAGTCTCACTCTGGTGAAACCTGTGAACTCTTGTGGAGCTGGAGCAAGCTCCAAGGCCATCATGGTAAAACCTGTCAACTCCAGAAGAGGCTGTCCAGATGGGTTGACATGTTGGGAAGTATCAAATGTGCAGAATGCCCCCCGTCGCTGAACAGCGCCCCCTTCCTATTCTTGAGCAGACTACTATCAACCTTTCCAACTCGAACCCTGCTTTAGAATCGCTGACTTTGAAGTAATAGTACGATTTTCGACAAGATTCTGCTTAATACTGCTGTTTATTACCGTAGCACCACCACTGTTATTATCACTGAGAGCTTAGCTTTGTTTTGCTCGTAACAGAGCATTTACGACGGTAAGCTGTTTGCCAATAGCAGTGAATGTGGCAGAAACGCAAACATAGTCTATTAAAAGAATCGCTGTTTTTCTTGTCAGCCCCTCCTCTATGCCTCGATTTCGTCAGAGCTACCACTGACAAGGCCCCGGGCTTGCGAAATGGCAAAGATGTGATTGGGCAGGGCGGAACGAACCACAGAAGGTAAGTTCTCCTTGTTGAATGCTCTAGAGGCATGAAACCCAGTCTGCTGAAAGTGTTAGAGACGGTAAGCTCTGTGGAGCAATGGACAGCGTTTCGCTGGTGAGCGTGAGATTCTGGATCGAGTCCTGCCTGCTCAAGGCTTTTGTCCATATCTCAGTTGGTTTAGGAATTGCACGGTGGCAGAGAGGGGGCCCCATTTGCTTCCAGTTCTCATTAAGTTATCCTGTATTCAGGAATTGCATTGAGAGAAGACATCCTGTCAATTTAAGGGACTAGTAGAACCAGCGCTCTAGTGGTCCGTTCCACCTTCACCTTCAAAAAATTGGCGCTGTTCGGTTTAGGGAGTGGAGGGGTGGGGCACTTCTGCACCCTC